ACACACACACACACACACACACACACACACACACACACACACACACACAGAGCAGAGCAAGACAATCATTTAAGATATTCTACTAGACACACAAGGAAAAGGTAAAACAGGACTTTTGTGCTCTCCTTTCTTCCAAATTTTTACATTTGCAGGAAAACTGTCACAGATAATGCAACAATCCAAAAGGTTCATCTAAAATTGAGTACAATGAATGGGGTAACAACACGTGAACACTGATTGTGAAATGAGAGACAGTGTGACGCAGACAAATGGGTTTATGCTAACAGGAAATCTAATTGAGCCAGGACTTGAAGCACACGCCTAATCTTCTGAAGCAAGGTAACACATTAAAATACTGAAGCATTTCAGATGACAACATAATCTACCAGATAATCTGCTTCCTGAAAATATCATTAGGTTATAAATATCAGTCAGGACATTATTGAAAACTCCATTAATTCTCTTGATATACTGGCATGGAATCTTCGTATACACATCTGAAGGAGATCAACTTTAAGATTTCATTAAAAATACATCATCTTTGACAGGATAGTACAGTACTGAAAGAATATTAAAGTATTAATCTAGACTGCCTGCTCAAGCCTCTGCATCTAGATTTGCATGGACAACTTTGTGACTCAGATCAGCAGGTCTAGCAGCATCTGTTAAGAAAAAAATCAGAGTTAATGTTTCGGGTTCAGTGACCCTTCCTCAGAACTGCTGAGGCTTATAAATAACAAGCGGGACAGAACACCAACACTTCTGAAGAAGGGTCACCAGACCCGAAACGTTAACTCTGATATTTTCTTCACGTTTGCAGCCAGACCTGCTGAGCTTTTCCAGCATCTTCTGTTTTTGTTGTTGATTTACAGCATCTGCTGTTCTTTTGGTTTTTGATTTTGTGACTCAGATGCAAAATTGTTACTGCTAAAGTACATGCATATGTACATTTGAATTAGAAGAAATAGGCCTCTTGGTCCTTTGAGTCTGTTCTGTCATTCAATAATAATAGCTGATCTGGTTAAGCTCTAAAGGCAGAGGTAGGATCAGGAAAGAGGTTGTACTCGGGTATTATGAACAGTTCGGTATTAAATTTGAAAGCAGACCAGATTACTACAAGGCACATGCAAATTGGCATAGGATAGATAAACTTAAGGGGATAATTGCATGGCTCAAAGAGTCGTGTGAAAGAAATGAATTTTAATTCATGAGGCTCTGGCATCAGTCATGGAAAAGGAGAGAGGCTTTCCATTAAATGAACTATAGTGAGACTATTTGAGACTAGTGTCCTGGTGAATCACATTGCTCGGGTTGTAGATACAGCGTTGAACTAATTATTGGGAAGAGGGATGTGGAGGGTAGTGAAGAGGCTGAGGTTGTCGACGTGCTCACTGACCTGGTGGGTTTGATTGCAAACATTTCATCACCCTGCTCGGTGACATCGTCAGTGCACCTCCTGTCGTGTCCAGCTTGTTATTTATATGTGTCAGTTTGTTGGGGTGTTTGGTACCACATCCGGTTGTTTCTCAGTGGTTTGTACACAGGGTCTAATTCAATACGTTTGTTGATAGAGTTCCGGCTAGAATACCAGGCCTCCAGGAATTCCCTGGTGTGTCTCTGTTTGGCTTGTGCAATTATGAATGTGAGAGATAGTAGGAACTGCAGATGCTGGTGAATCCGAGACAACAAGGTGCAGGGCTGGATGAACACAGCAGGTCAAGCAGCATCACAGGAGCAGAGAGGCTGACATTTCGGGCCTAGACCCTTCATCAGAAAAGGGGGAGGGGAAGGGGGTTCTGAAATAAATAGGGAGAGAGTGGGAGGCGGTTAGAAGATGGACAGAGGAGAGGATAGGTGGAGAGGAAACAAACAGGTCGAAGAGGCGGGGATGGGGCCAGTAAAGGTGAGTGTAGGTGGGGAGTTAGGGAGGGGACAGGTCAAGGGGGCAGGATGAGGTTAGTCAGTAGGAGATGGAGGTGCGGCTTGAGGTGGGAGGAGGGGATAGGTGGGAGGAAGAACAGGTTAGGGAGGCAGGGATGAGCTGGACTGGTTTTGGGATGCGGTAGGGGGAGGGGAGATTTTGAAACTTGTGAAATCCACATTGATACCATTGGGCTGCAGGGTTCCCAAGCGGAATATGAGTTGCTGTTCCTGCAACCTTTGGGTGGCATCGTTGTGGCACTGCAGGAGGCCCAGGATGGACATGTCGTCTGAGGAATGGGAGGGGGAGTTGAAATGGTTTGCGACTGGGAGGTGCAGTTGTTTCTTGCGAACCGAGCGTAGGTGTTCTGCAAAGCGGTCCCCGAGCCTCCGCTTGGTTTCCCCGCTGTAGAGGAAGCCACACCGGGTACAGCGGATGGAGTATACCACATTGGCAGATGTGCAGGTGAACATCTGCTTGATGTGGAAAGTCTTCTTGGGGCCTGGGATGGGGGTGAGGGAGGAGGTATGGGGGCAGGTGTAGCACTTCCTGCGGTTGCAGGGAAAAGTGCCGGGTGTGGTGGAGCTGGAGGGGAGTGTGGAGCGGACAAGGGAGTCACGGAGAGAGTGGTCCCTCCGGAAAGCAGATGGGGTGGGGAGGGAAAGATGTCTTTGGTGGTGGGGTCGGATTGCAGATGGCGGAAATGTCGGAGGATGATGCGTTGGATCCGGAGGTTGGTGGGGTGGTACGTGAGGACGAGGGGGATTCTTTTTTGGTTCTTATTGCGTGGACGGGGTGTGAGGGATGAGTTGCGGGAGATGTGGGAGACACGGTTGAGGGCGTTCTCGACCACTGAGGGGGGGGAAGTTACGGTCCTTGAAAAACGAGGACAACTGAGATGTACGGGAGTGGAATGCCTCATCCTGGGAGCAGATGCGGCGGAGGCGAAGGAATTGGGAATAGGGGATAGCATTTTTGCAGGAAGGTGGGTGGGAGGAGGAGTATTCTAGGGAGCTGTGGGAGTCGGTGGGCTTGAAATGAATATCGGTTTCTAGGTGGTTGCCCGATATGGAGACAGAGAGGTCCAGGAAGGGGAGAGAGGTGTTAGAGATGGTCCAGGTAAACTTAAGGTTGGGGTGGAAGGTGTTAGTGAAGTGGATGAACTGTTCGACCTCCTCGTGGGAGCACGAGGCGGCACCGATACAGTCATCAATGTAACGGAGGAAGAGGCGGGGTTTGGGGCCGGTGTAGGTACGGAAGAGGGATTGTTCCACGTAACCTACAAAGAGGCAGGCGTAGCTTGGGCCCATGCGGGTACCCATGGCTACCCCCTTTGTCTGTAGGAAGTGGGAGGAATTGAAAGAGAAGTTGTTGAGGGTGAGGACGAGGTCGGCTAAGCAGATGAGGGTGTCAGTGGAGGATTTCACAAGTTTCAAAATCTCCCCTCCCACTACCGCATCCCAAAACCAGTCCAGCTCATTCCTGCCTCCCTAACCTGTTCTTCCTCCCACCTATCCCCTCCTCCCAGCTCAAGCCGCACCTCCATCTCCTACCGACTAACCTCATCCCGCCCCCTTGACCTGTCCATCCTCCCTGGACTGACCTATCCCCTCCCTAACTCCCCACCTACATTCACCTTTACTGGCCCCATCCCCGCCTCTTCGACCTGTTTGTTTCCTCTCCACCTATCCTCTCCTCTATCCATCTTCTATCCGCCTCCCACTCTCTCCCTATTTATTTCGGAACCCCCTTCCCCTCCCCCTTTTCTGATGAAGGGTCTAGGCCCGAAACGTAAGCCTCTCTGCTCCTATGATGCTGCTTGGCCTGCTGTGTTCATCCAGCCCTGCACCTTGTTGTCTCGGATTCTCCAGCATCTGCAGTTCCTACTATCTCTGATTCATTAGTGCCATCCTGGTTACAAAACCACAATTAAAACAAAACAACAGCAGAAATAAAAGAAAAAGTGCCAAAGGGAAACAAAAAAAAATCCAGATCCTAAAGAAAGAAAAAGGCTAGATCTTAAAGTCCTTGGCCTGGAGTTTTGGACAGGTTGTGAGTCTCAATTCAAATATGTAATAATGATAAAATATCAAATCTTAAGGATCCTTATCTGAATAGATGAAACACTTTTGCAAAGGTTAGATGAGTTTATGGCACAGATAGCAATAAATAACATGGCTTGATAGCTATTAGACAGAAGTAGTTGCAGCAAACTCAAGAACGAGAACTCAACATACAGAACAATAGGCAAAACGGAAAAGGAAGTAGGCAAGCTGTGATAATAAAGGAGGGTTTTGGTGTGCTGTTAAGTGTCAAATAGGTGCAACAGATTGTGATGTGAAATCAATTTGGGTGGAAATAAAGATAGTAAGGAAAAGAAGTCACATACAGGAGTTGTCTATTGGCTCCTGAAGAGTTGCCTGACTACAGCACAAAACATAAATCAAGAAATAATGGCACATGTAAGAAGGGCAGTGCAATTGTCATGGGTGATTTTAATCTGCATTTTGATTGGACAATTGAAATGGATATGGGAACATGGAAGACGAATTTGTGGAATGCATCAATGATTATTCAGTAATGGGCTGTTTTAGATCTCGTAATAAGATTAATAAGTGATCTCACAATTAAGGATCCTCTGGGGGGCAGTGATCATGAAATGGTGGAATTTCACATTCAGTTTGCGAGATAGGAACTAGTGTCTCAAACTGGAGAAGGTGCAGAGAAAGACCAACTCTAGTATATGACAGGTCTGTTCAAAAATCTGATAACAGCAGGGCAGAAGCTGTTCTTGAATCTGTTGGTATGTGCTTTCAAACTTTTGTATCTTCTGCCAACGGAAGAGAGTGAAAGAGAATATAACCAAGGTGGGAAAAGGTTGATTATGTTGGCTGCTTTCCTGAAGTAGCAGGAAGAGTAGACAGTCAATGGAATGAAGGTTGGTTTTTGTGATGGACTGGGCTGCATTCACAACCCTCCGTAATTTCTTGCGGTCTTGGACAAAGCAGTTGCCATTCTAAGCTGTGATGTATGCAGATACTCTTCAGTTAATTATGACCAGTAAAACAGGACATGGATATAAACTATGTATTAATTTACATTGCTCAAATTAATGCCCTGTCTGCAAAGTCCTCAGAACGTGAAAGATGGGATTCAGAGAGAGGTGGTTGTATAATGGAGTCTGCATCTTCAAAACTCATGCCTTTTTCCAGGCAATCCCTAATTGAAAAGCTATTTTTGTTACTTTTTATCCTTTCACAGGATTGGGGTGGTCACTGGTTGATTGCTCATCCTTAAATGCCCTCTAGAAAGAAGGTTGTGATAATGTCTTCTTGAACTGCTGCAGCCCATGTGGAATAATTGCACCCACAGTGCTGTTAGGCAGGCAATTCAGCATTTTGATCCAGTGACATTAAAAGAATAATGACATATTTCCAAGTTAAGTGGTGTGTAGCGTAGAGAGGAACTTGGATGATGGGCATGTCTCCATACATTTGCAGCTCTTGTTTAAGAGCTTGTGGATCTAAAATATGCTGTCAAAGTGAACTATTGCAGTATGTCTTGTAGATGATACACATTACTGGGGTTTTGCACCACTGGTTATGGATGAGGTGTCAATCAAGCGAGCGGATTTGTCCTGGATGATGTGGAAACTGGAGTATTGCTGGAGGTGTATTCACTAATTGGAGAGTAGTCCATCACACTCCTAACTTACGCTTTGTTGGTAGGACGGGTAAAGGCTTTAGGAAGTCAGGAAATGAGTAACTTGCCGCAGAATCTCCAGATACTTAGCTGCTCTTGTAATCACAATATTTATACGAATGCTCCAGGTTAATTCCTGGACAAAGATAACTCCTCGGAGTTTGATGTAGAGAATGCATTAATGATAATGTTATTAAATATCAAAGGGATATGGCTGGATTATCACTTGTTGGAGATAGCTATTGCCTGGCAGTTATGTGGCACAAATGGTACTTGCCACTAATCAGTGCAAGCATTAATATTGTACAGGTCTTTCTGCATATAGGGACAGACCAGCTCAGTGGCTGAGGCACTGTGAACGGTACTGAATGCTTCATAATCAGTGAACACTCTTCATTCTGATTTTATTGAGGGGAGTAAGTGGTGGTCATTCATGAAGTAATGTGATAGTTCAGCCTAGTACAGTGCCCACAAAAATATCCCACAGCTAAGTTTCTTGGTCTCCACAACAATAATATTTTGTGTTAGGTGGCACCCAACTTGGAGATTTTATCCACCAATTTCCACTAAATTAAAATGTAGTCTTTGTGCCACAATCACACAGATAACTGTTTGTTCTCAAGCAGTCACTCTCACTTCACCATCAGAATTCAGCGTTTTCAGTTCTTGGACCAAAGTTGTAATTAGGCAAGGAGTGTGGTGACTCTGACGGAATCCAGAATGAGAATCAGAAAGTGGATTATTGCCAAGCGAGAGCCACTTGATACCAGTGTGGACAACTTTCCATCATAATCAAATAAAAAAATCCAGACACTGAAATAAAAATAGAAAGTGCTAGAGAACCTCAGTATCTCTAGCAGCACGGAAGAGGAGTGAATAGAATATGTGGAGAAAAAGGCAAGAGAAAAGAAAGAGACAAGAAAATGGATTATTGATGATAAGCCAAGAGGGAGATAATAGCGAGTAGGCGCTTATAGAAGTGCAAACGGTTGAAAATGGGTGGCTGTGCTGCCAGCATTCCCATACAAAACCGGACCCAGGGCTGTGGGGTAGGTAATGAAAATGAAGGAGGTGTTCACATTCTCAAACGTTTAAACTCAATGTTTACTAATAAACTGAAGTTATAACGTACCTAGGCAAAAGATGAGGTGCTCCTCCAGCGCACTGCAGCAGGCCCGAGATAGAAATGTTGTATGGGAATATGGTAATGTACTGAAGTGGTAGGAAATCCCAAAAATCAGGCAGTGCAGTGTTGAGCAAAGTAGTCAGTCAGTCTGCATTTTGTCCCCCTGATGTACAGGAGATCACATTATGACAGCAAATATAGTAGACTAGATTGAATAAAGTGAGGGCAAATTGCTACTTCATATGGAAGGTGTGTCTGGGTCTTGCATAGTGAGGAGGGAGGAATTAAATGGACAAGTTTTACACCTTCTGTGATTGCACACGGAGGTGTCATTGGGTGTGAGGATGTTTGAGACTGCAGGAGTGGAGCAGGGTACCCTAGAGTGAACTGTCCCTATGGAATGCTGACAAGGGAGGGGAGAGGTTTGTGTACCTGGTGGTAGTGTCTTGCTGAATGTGGCGGAAAGGGCAGCTTATGATCTTTTGAATGCGGATGCCGGCAACAGTAGAAAGTGAGGGCCAGAGGGACTCTATCACTGTTGTGGAATAGAAAGGAAGGAAAGGGGTGAGGACAGAAGTGCAGGAAATGGGTTGGACACAGCCGAGAGCTGTGTCAACCACAGCGGCAGGAAATCCTCGATTGAGGAAAAAGGTGGACATTGCTGAGGCTTCCTGGAAAGCTGGCATTATCAAGACAGTTTTGAAAGAACAGAAAGTGGGAGAATAGAATGGAGTCCCTACAGGAAGCAAAGTGTAAAGCAGTATAGTCAAGCTAACTATGGAGTCAGTGAGTTTGCATTGAAAATCAGTGCCAGTCTATCCCAAGCAGAGATGTCAGGGAAGGAAAGGGAGGAGTCTGAGATGGACCTAGTGAAGTTGAGAGCAGAATGAAAACTGGAAGCAAAATTGATAACTTTATTCCAATTCTGGACAAGAGAGAGAAGCAGCACTGATGATGTCATCAGTGCACCGGTGAAAGAACGGTGGTGACAGACCAGAATAGGACTGGAACAAAGAGACCCACAAAGAGATAGGCCTAACTGGGTACCCATGGCCACATCTTTAACCTGAAGAAAGTGAGGCAGAGTTAAAGGAGAAGTTGTTCAAAGTGAGGATGACCTCAATTAGGCAGAGCAGATGGCTACAGTTCAGGGCTTCTTTCAAGAAATAGCCGAGAGCCCTCAAACTACCCTGTTGGGGGATGCACATGTAGAGGCTGCATTTTCAGTGCACTACCCAGTGAGTTGCAAGAAATTGTAAACTGATGATGTAGTAATTAACTAGACTGAATTTATCCAGGTTTTTGATGACAGGAAACATGTGATCAATTTTCCAGTCACTTTGATACATTGTAACAACTTGACCAGGGGCACAGCTAGTTACAAATAATAAATTTTCATTAATAATGAAGATTTAATTTAGTAAAAGTCTTTGACATACCAACCATTTCTGGATACAACTCTCTTCAGTCCAGACTGTCTAAATACTGGCATCTGAGAACAATCTCCTTTCACTCACTCCCTTCCTGTCTTCTTCATCTCCCATCCCACTTATTCCCTCCACTTCCCCCAACACCCCCTCTGTTCTTCTACTTTGCAGCCCTTCCCTAATCCTGCTGTCACTTCTCTTTGCCTCTTCTATTTCCCACCACCTCTTCTATTAACCCCCCCACTCTCCTTTTACCTTTCTCTTCCCACTTTGCTAGCTCCCTCAAACCCTCTGCTCCCCAACTCCTTGACTTCTCCCTCTCTGTCCTCCACTACACTGCCCTCCTTGCGTGTTCTCCCCTTGCCTACCCCCTATTTACCCACTGCCCGCTACCCTACCCCACCTCGCCTACACCTACGCCTACCCCCTATTTACCCACTGCCCGCTAC